TGTGTGTGTGTGATGGGGAGGGGTCAGGAGGCCAGCACAGACAGGTGCCGAGACAGCGGGGAGAGCTCCACAGCATCCGGGCCCCCACGCCAGCTGCAGCACACCCATTACTGGGGCGTAGACCGCGGACAGGGCCGGGAGGGCGCAAGGTGTCGCAGAAGTCGGGGAGAACGAATCTCGGAAGCTTCCATCCGGTGACGGATCTCAGGGGCTTCGTGTCCTGCGTAGAGCCCTCCCGGAGCACCCAGCCCCGGGGGAGCAGTGCCGGGGGACTGGAGAGTGTGCGGGCTGGAGAGCGGGGGGCAGCAGGTGCACAGCCCTGCCAGCTCCCGCTCAGCACTCCTACCGCCTCTGCAACATTCCGGTGGGTTCCTACCACCAGATCTCTGGCTGCGAGGATTTTATTTCAAAGGTCAGGTGGTGTTTTCATTTGTCAGTGGTCACTAAGACAGACGCTTTTACGCATAAAAGAAAACTAAGGAAGTTTTTTTTTTATCTTGTTTCAATTTTTTGAAAAGAACAAATCGATACCTTAAATTGATATAAAGCAGCGGAAAACAACCCCCACTCCCACCCGAGGGGAACCATTCAGAAAAAGTACAAATGTTCATGCAGCACACGTTTCTATTCATCATGACCAAAAATGAAAGTCCCCCGGGAATAAAATGCAGATTCTTGCCATTATATTGCCTGTTCGGGGAGTATAGGCAGACCGCTGACAAAACAGCCCGTGCATTTTCAGTACGATGTTCCTCGTTTAAGCCCAATTGAAAAGTCACCAGAAAGAAGCCGGGCTCCAGTTTTCTTTGGCCCTCCTGTTTGCCCCGCGTTTTATACGCTCTCTGGCGTGTGTGCTGTGCTTGGAAGTCTGCCTTCAGGTCATTCTTGAACATTGCGCCTCTATATTTTGAACACAGAAACCTACCAATTTTGACTAAATTTTGACCAATTTTGACCAATTTTGACTAAACCTACCAAAATTGACTAAATTTTCTTCTCCAGTCAAAACTCAGCAATATTTATATAACTGAGAACACTGTGTTTTAGATGTGATAATTAAATATGAAAATATGATGCATAATATCAAGACTATCTTAGGATGAGTCATTCATAATAATAGTGAGGGCTTTCTATGAAAATTAAATAAAAGGAGATGTTTGGAGTCATTACGATGAGAGGAAGATAAAGTAGAGGGAAAAGGCAAACCCTCTGACCGCCCGTGGCAGGGTTGGGCAAGTTTTATCTGAACGGCAAGACGGAAAATATTTTTGGCTTTGCGGGCCATAGCGTCTCAGTCACAATGAGTCAACTCTAATGTGAAAACACAAAAGCAGCCAGAAACAATATGGGCCAAACGGACATGACTGTGTCCCAATAAAACTTTACTTATAAAGACAGAAGGCTAGAGCAGGCAAGGGCCATAGTTTTCGACCCGTGATCTATGGGAGACAGACTACGAAATTAATGATGAGTAAGATGAAACAGCGACCATCACAGACCCTCCGTAACCACACAGAGAATATTAAAAACCACTCGGGATTTGATAATATGCCCGGGGCATCCATCTGCTATGAAGTATTTCATACCTGCCCTTAAAGGGAAAGCTTACACTTACTTTTCATTTCTAGGATTTTAAAGTACACGGAAGATGTATTTTGTTACGAGATAAACTAGCATAGTGGATACTCACAATAAATTAAACAGTGATTGTTCTCAGGGAGTAAGTGATTCTGTGTTTTCCAAAAGAAGTTGCTTTTGAATTTCTTTAATATGCATAGGCCGTGTTGAATTTACTGCGTGGGATCTAGAAACCGGGATTTTCAATATGGGTAATTGGGGGGTAAGTGGGGGCGGGGGATATTTCTAACCTGATGAAGTATTGTAGCTAATTCATTTCAAAATAGTGAGAGGCCCGATCAGTGGGACGGGCTTGCGTGGCCCTTGAGTTGCTGTGTGTGCTTGTGTGCCTGGTTGCATGCAGGTCCTGTCTTTCTCCCTCTGACGCATGTACAGCTACCCTCCAAATGGCCACAGGCCACCCCTGTCCTGGAGCAGGCCGCGTGGTGGGCAAGGATGGCTGAGACAAAGACCCTTCGGGAGGGGCGGCCACCAGGTATAGGGTCTCTCCTCCAGGCCGGCTTAGACTCCCTGTCTCACTCTCCTGTCCTCCCCCCGGGGGCCTGCGTCGTGCTCCAGACGGGCCCCCAGCACCCCCCTCACCAACCGTGTGATTCTTCATGTCCCTAACTGCTCTAAGCCTCAGTTTGCCCATCTGCAAAGTGGGGACAATCGAATTTCCCTGGCAGAGTTCCTCTGATTAAACAAGACAGCGTTTGAGCTCCCAAGACGGGGACCGCAGGCGAGGCTGGCTCTTAGCCCAGTTCAAGGTCTGCTT